CCTACTCAGACGTGTTCCTCAGACCTAGGAGTGGCCAGGTTGAGTACCAGGCCCGCTTCGAAGTCGAAGGGCGACCTCACAAGGCAAGACTACGTCCACTACCACCCACCGCCGAAGCCGAGTTAAAGAGACAAGTGGAGAGCCAGCTAGACAAGGGGGTCATAAGGCCTAGCAAGTCACAGTGGGCTGCTTGCCCTTTTGTTATACCAAAGAAAACCGGTGATTACAGGGTGGTGATTGACTATCGTGTCCTGAACAGCAGAATGAAGGACGATGCCTTTCCCATTCCTCTGCTATGGCATAGTCTTCAAAAGTCTGCGGGGTACACACATTATATAACACTCGACTGTAATTGGGGCTTCTGGAACGTCCCAATACACGAGGAGTCAAAACACCTAACGGCGTTCACAACACCCTGGGGCCTGTATGAGTTCAACGTAATACCATTCGGTATAAAGAACAGTCCAGGTGAATACCAGAGGGCCATGAACCTTGCGTTCGAGCCTTTGTTAGGCAATGGCGTAGAATGCTATATCGACGATATAGTGATTTATGCGAGTTCCAGAGACGGTGCACTTCGACTACTTGGAAAGGTGATGCAGATATGTCGTACTAACGGCTTCTACCTAAAGCTGAAGAAATGCGACTGGCTGCGGGATAGAGTGAACCTACTCGGACACTCAGTAGGGACGACCGGTATTTTACCGCAGAGGGGGAAGCTCCAAGCTCTCCAGAAAATGCGCGCTCCGCAAGACTTCAAAGAGTTAAGGTCACTACTTGGCTTACTTTCGTTTCACAGACGGTTCGTACCCGCGTTCTCCGACGAGGTACAACCCCTACAAGAACTGATGAATGCACACAAGACCCTACCTTTCATATGGGAGGACCACCATGAGGCGGCATTCCAGGAACTAAAGAACCTCGTAGTAGGCGCTGAACCCCTGCAACCACTAAGACCGGAAGGCCAGTTGGTTCTCAACACCGACGCTAGCGGGTACGCTATCGGCGGCGTGTTG